TGTGTGTGTTATTGACAATTTAGACTAGGATGATCAGAGAAAGCCTCACCAAGGAGGTGTGTTCAAGTCCAGACCTGAAGGAGATGAAGAGGTATAGTGTCCCAGAGCAGGTGCAAAGGCCCTGAGGTGGGAGTTTCCCTGTCTGCTCTCAGAAGACCAAGATAGCCTGAGTAGCTGGCAGGTGTTGAAGTCAGAGAAATAAGAAAAGGGTGTGTGTGCATGTCTGTGTGTGTGTGGTGAGGTGAGCTGAGGTGGGATTTGTACAGGACTTAGTGATCAATTAAAACTAGTGCTAGTTGAGACAGGGGCTTTGACCAGTAGCCCAAGGGCCAGTCCCAGCACATCCATGCCTCTCGAGCTTTCATCCTCAGAGCAGCAGAGCTGCCCTAACTCATGGCTCTGCCCACTGTGCCCCCAGCCCCCACCCGCCCCCAGACCTTGCCCAACTTCGCTTTCCAGGCTGAAATAACAGTTCCTCCTGAATGAGTCTAGACACCAGGAAGGACTTGCTGATTCTCAGGGAGAGGACACAGTGGTTGGTAATGGAGTGGGGAGGAGCTTCCTCCACATCTGGGACTGAATGAGTCTAGACACCAGGAAGGGCTTGCTGATTCTCAGGGAGAGGACATAGTGGTTGGTAATGGAATGGGGAGAGGCTTCCTCCACATCTGGGACTGAATGAGTCTAGACACCAGGAAGGGCTTGCTGATTCTCAGGGAGAGGACATAGTGGTTGGTAATGGAGTGGGGAGGAGCTTCCTCCACATCTGGGAGAGACTTCCCTGGTGGTCTGGGGAGGACCCCACCTGCAGCAGCAACTCCAGGCAGCCACAGAGTCTGTGCAACTCAGCGCTGGCATCTGTCACACACTGCTGCCCATCCCCGTAACCCTGGAGGATGGCAGAGACAGCAGCTGTAGGGAAGACAGTAGATGGCAGACATCAGGTAATGAGGGCTCCAAGGGAGAGGGTCCCCAGAACCCCAACTTCTCTCCAGCTCAATTCCAGAAATCTCTCAGAACACACTCACCTTTCAAGTCCCCGGTGACCTTGAGGACAGCCCTGTCTTCTGCCATAGGTACTTGGTATTCCTTGTGACTAAGGCTGTGCTGGTCCTAGAAGATCAACCCAGAGTGAATCCTCTGGGCTCAGCCGTCAATTCTCTCCTTACACAAAGGAGAATTCAGAGGCTTAGAGAGGAGCAACTTATCTAGGATTACATAGCAAGTTAGTTGTTGTTTAGTGCCTTTGAGTTGCTTCCAGTCGCTTCGAGTTTCAAACCAACCTTTTGCTCCAGTACATTATCCTGCAGCATCGTACGAAGACTCCCTAAGCTCATTGGTTGGGGTGAAAAGATGCACACCTTTGTGACCAGTGTGTGAGGCAAGGGTGCAGCCCCCACCTCCCCCACCCCCATGATAGTCAGGGTTCCAGACTCTGTGCTAAGTGCTCACCTTGTCTCATTGGTCCTACAATAACCAACAAGGGTTATGAAGTCTATTTCACAGAAGGCAAAACTGGGACACAGAGATGGCAGTCTTTATCCAAGGTCACAAAACTATAAATGGTGGACCCAGAATTTGAACTTAGTTCTGACTGCCCATGTTCTTGGCCCAACTTGATTTGGGTGGCCATGTGGGTGCTTGTGCAACATGACAGCTCGGTATAGGGAACATCAGTCCCTCCCCCTGTGGAGTCCTCAGCATCACAAGGCAGTCACCCTAGAGACACACTCATCCTTTCCTGAGCTCTGGCTGAGGGGAATTCCTGTGCTTTGAGGAGAGGACAGTGGTAAGGCAAAGTTTCAGAGTGGGGCCAGGGTCAGAATGCTGGGGCAACAGGAGCCTGAACTACCCCTTTCTCCCAGGGGAATCTCAGCCTGTTCCTGGAGCTCAGAGAGGGACAGGAACTTATTCTGAGAACCTGGAGTCAGGACCAGGCATGGGCCAGAACACCCAGGTGTCCTGCCTCCCAGGCTGTGTTTGCTGGAGTGTGGAGTGGAGCTGGGGAGCGAGCGATGACACAGTGGGACCCAGTGGATGGGAAGAGAGGGAAATGAAAGTAAAAGAGGGAGTGTAGATGAGAAGGTAGATGAGGGGGTCCGGTAGGGAGGTGCAGGAAGCCCTGGGCTGGGAGTCAAGAAACCTGAGTTTCCATCCTGGCCTGCTAGTAACTCACCTGTGTGGTCACTTGCCTTCCCTGGGTCTCTATTTCCCCATATGTAGACCAAGGGGTTGTTGGACTCAGGGTCTCTACAGTTCCTTCAGCCCAGATCCTCTATGAAACCCACAAATATCTAGGGTACCTCCTCCTCTCCCTTGTCTGTATCCAGAACCCTTTGCCCCTCACTCCTGCCATCACCCCCTTTTCTGAGACCAGGGGTCTCCACAGGAATCTCCCTGCACTCACCTGGACAGGCTGGCTGCTGGAGGCAGGAAGAGCAGGGCCCTGCTCTGCAGTTTGAGCTCCTGACTTGTGCCCTGTCTCCTGCACAGTCTTCCCCAGAGTTTGCTCTGGGAAGTGACTCAGGCCCAGCCCAGCCAGCACGCACCCTGGAAGGGGAAACTAAGCTCAGAGAGGGAGGAGCAGAGACCTTGTTGGGGAGAGGTGGCAGAGGCAGGATCCAGGGTACAGGGCAGAATGCAGGAGAGGGGAATGGTTCCCTTCCAGCTCACCTTGGATTGACTCCCTTCTTGGTCATCCAGAGCGGTAGCAGCTAGATGACTAGTTACCAAATGATGTAGTTAATCATATATTTAGTTACCTAGTTAATTACCCAGCTACTGAGTTAATTGTAACTAGTTACCTAATTACCCAATTAACTATCTACTCAGTCAATCAACTAGTTAATCAGCTAGGTAAGTAGTTAAAATAGTTAACTGGCTTGATAACTAGTTGAAAGACCAGATACAAGCTAGTTATTAGCCAACTAACAATTTTACAAATTAACTAGATAATTAGGTAGTCTTATTTAGTTAACTAGTCTTCTAACTAGTCAGTTGATTAGATAAATAGACTCTTAATAGATACTTGTCAACTGGCTAGTTACTAATTAACTGGTTATAGATCTAGTTTCCTAGTTACCTATTCCTCTGAATGTGTTCACCACCTCTTGTCTGCCACTTTGTCGCACTGTGGAGGCTTGTGTGTTTTTGTGATGCTGGAAGCTATGACACTGGTATTTGAAAAAACACAGAGTCACCATGGAGGACAAGTTTGAGCTGAGCTTCCAGACTAAGACAGACTAGGAAGAAGGAGAAAAGGACCATTTACAAATGTTTAGCCACTGAAAAACTTATGAATAACATTGGAACGTTGTCAGATAGAGTGCTGGCAGATGAAGCTCTGAGGTTGGAAGGCACTCAACACACTACTGGGGAAGAGCTGCCTCCTCAAAGTAGACTTTTCACCATGATGATGCAAAGGGTGTAAAGCTGTCAAGACCTTCGTTTGCTCAAGGGGCACATCTCAAAATAAATTAAAACAGCCGTAAACATTAATTCATAATCGGAACATGGAACGTACAAGGTATGAATCTAGGAAAATTGGAAATTGTCACAGTGAAACACATAAAGATCAATATCCTAGGCATTAGTGACCTGAAATGGACTGGTATTGGCCATTTTGAATCTGACAATCATATAATTTACCATGCCAGAATGAAAATTTCATGAGGAATGGTGTAGCATTCACCATCCAAAAAGAACGTATCAAGATCTATCTTGAAATACAGTACTGTCTGTGATAGGGTAATATCCTTATGCCTACAAGGAAAACCAGTTCATACCACTATTATTCAAATTTGTATACCATTTACTGAAGCCAGAGATGATAAAATTGGAGAATTAGTGTAGTGGTTACAAATTGGGGTGCAAATCTCAAAGTCAACAGTTTGAAACTACCAGCGGTTCTGTGGGAGAAAGATGAGGCTTTCTGCTCCTGTAAAGATTGACAGCCTTGCAGACCCTGTACAGGGTTGAGTTGGCATAAACTCCATGGCACATCAATACCACCACCATCACCACAACTTCCTGACTGAAATTGATCAAACATGCAATCAAGATGTACTGATAATTATTGGCGATTGGAATACAAAAGTTGTAAACAAATAGGAAGGGTCAGTCTTTGGAAAATAGGACCTTGTCTGTCTTTAGCCTATAACTGTTTAGATTAGTTAAAAGGGGAGTTAAATTTTTCTCACAGTAATAGGCTTCTTGTTAAGCCTTTGTGGAATATGGGACCTTAGGTCCCTGAGGTGGAACAGTCCCACTTGAAAAGATAGGCAGACCACCAACCCAGAACATCTGGGAGAACAGAAGATTCTTAGATTCTTATTGAAAGAAAGACCAGCCAAAAAAAAGGAAAAAAAAAAAAAAAAGCAGACTGTCTGGCTGATAGAATATCAAGCAAGCTGTTTACTTTGGAGGCATCAAGATAAGAAAAGTCATCCCATCAGGGAAAACTCCCTTCTAAGACTGAAATGCAAAGGGAATCTGTGAGCAGTCTATTATACTCAAAGGTGACCATCCTGGTCTATTTGTGAGTGGACGTGGGGGAATGCAGCAATGAAGATGGTCACAACTGTAATTATAGAAGATATGTAACTAAAAAGGGGAAGTAATTTATCTTTCATTGCAGGAAGTGTCCCAGGACCTTCAAGATGGAAGAGCATGAGATGCTACCCAGAGAAGTGGTGACAGAAACCACAGTGGCAGAGGTGATGGGATGGAGACATAGAGCAGCTGTGGACTCTAGGCTCATGGACTGAGGAAGGCTTTGTGCCTGCAGGCAGGAGGTTGGCTTACAAAATGTGCCCTTTGGACATTTAAATAAATATATATTTTTGCTTTGTATGTGTACATCAAATGTCTTGCATTGTTGATTTGTGAGAAAAAGGATGTAAAAGAGAAGCCACAGGGAGGAAGCAGAATAACTGTTGTTGCAGGGAGGGGATTGTAATCATTTAGATGAAGCAAAATGTATGACTGGCTAAAAGTAAAGCTGATGATCATGTTTGTTAACTGTTACTCAATTTACAACAAAAAATTTAAAACTGTCATGACTTTTACTTTTCTCTTGCAGGTTTATTTTAAATGATCATTTTATCTTTCATAAAAGTGGTTTTCAAATGGCATGTGATTGTTTGCCCAGTTTAATAAGCTTCTTTAGAACACTATCATTAAAAAAAAGAGAAAATATGGCCTTGGTGATAGAAATGATGCTGGAGACAGCATGAAAGAATTTTGTATGATCAATGATTTATTCATTGCAAATACCTTCATAAAGTACTATAGAAGACATGAATCTCACCAGATGGAATACAAAGAAATCAAATTGATTGCATTTGTGGGAAGAGATGGTAGAAAAACTCCGTATCATCAGCCTAAACAAGGCCAAGGATAGACTGTTGAAGAGTCCATCAATTGCTCACATGCAAATTCAGGCTGAAGTGGAAGAAAAGCAAAACCAGTTCACTAGAGCCAAAATAATATTCTTGAACATATCCCAACTGAATTTAGAGATCATCTCAAGAATAGATTTGATGAATTAGACACTAATGATCAAATACAGGAAGAGCTGTAAGATGACATCAAGAGGATCATATAGAAAGAAAGCAAAAGTTCATTAAAAGGACAGGAAAGAAAGAAAAGACCAAAATAAATGTCAGAAGAGACTCTGAAACTTGCTTTCCAGCATAGAGATGCTAAAGTAAGTGGAAGAAATGAGGAAGTAAAAAAGCTGAACAGAAAATTTCAAAGGTCAGCTCGAGAAGACTAAGTCAAGTATTATAATGAAATATGAAAAGATCTGGAGTTACAAAACCAAAAGGGAAGAACATGCTCAGCCTTTCTCAAGCTGAAAGAAGTGAAGAAAAAAAATTCAAACCTTGACTTGTAATATTGAAGGGTTTTATGAGAAATTATGAGGATAGCTAAGGACTGAACAGTGTTTTGTTCTTTTGTACTTAGGGCCACCATGAGTCAGAACTGTGTCAATGACACCTAACAACAACATCATGGGAAAAATACTGAATGATACAGAAAGCATCAAAAGAAGATAGAAGGAACACACAGAG